AAAAAAAAAAGGGGGGGGGGGGGGGGAGGAAGAAAGAAAAAGAGAAACATAACGAGAATAAAAGAAAAGGAAAGAAAAGAACAAGAGTGTGAAAACATTTTCTGGAGACAGTCGATGACACGTTCTTTGTGCCCCTTTCCGTTCGTTCTTGACGTGCATCGTCGACGGTTGGCAATTATCGAAAAACAACAGCAGGACGTGAATCTCTCGAGGGTCGTGATACCTCTCTTAGATAGTTGGAATCGTTTCGTTCTGTTTAGTTCTGTTTCGCTTTGAAAAGTGTCAGAAAGAGAATACACGGGTATGTCGACTCGAATCGTGAGAAAGATGTCCAAGTATCTAACGACAAGTACAGTGAAAAATCTATCTAATCTATCTAGTGTCTAGTCTAGCGGCTAACGAAGCAACTTTCGGTACAGCGATCCGTTTGTCAACACTATCGTGAATTTGTTTGGGATAGGTGATACACAATACGTTAATCAACGATCAGAAGCAAGCTGTATGTATGTGTACTCGTAAGATGCGCTTCTGTCAAGTGTTATCAGCTTTTCACACAGGTTCAAAAAAAATGAAAAAAAATGAAGAAAGAAAAAAAAGAAAAAAATTGACGATCATTGACACTGGGGAGTCGGAATAATTCCGTCTATATTTTAATTATGCTGTCCCTTGTTCCGGCACACACACGTGCTTAGGACACGTGTTTATGACACAAACTTACATGGGCCGGCGCGGTACTCTTTACTCCAATGCGGAGGGCGCCTTACGGGCCTTCTGTTGGGGCTATACAGAGACATACAGATTCAACAGATTAGAGACGATCGTAATCTCTGCTCTTCTTTGCACACGCTCACTATCTTTTCATCCCGGGCAATTTTATCTTTATCTCAGATTTCTAGAAAATTTCGTTCTCGTTCGTCGTCGACTCGGAACCGACTACTCCTCTACCGTTTACATCTTATAACCATTCGTCGACCCATTCTTCTACCGCGATTTTTATCGAAGCAAAATTTCAAGAATTATGGAATCATTACGTCTTAAAGAAAAGAGAAGAGAAATGAAAAGATCATTATCGCGAAAGGAATCCTATTGCTACTCTATCGCGAAAAACCTGCATTTTCCGTTTGAACTTTCGTTTTCGTAGCGTAATTTCTAGTTTCCAACGGGTGACACACGTCACACGCGTGGTACGTTTATCGAAATATCGCTGCGCGATAAGAGACGAATTGCCGAATCAAATGATGCGAAGAAAAGAAGAAAAAAAAAAAGAACAGAAAAAAAGCAAAAGCAAAAGAGAAAGTAAAAAGAAAAAGAAAAAGAAACGGGAAAAAGAGAAGAAAAACATCGTTACGCTAAAATACGATAGAGAGAGAGAGAGAAAATTTTGGTAGAATATAGCGATAGAATAGAAACGCGTATAAGATGTTGACATACCACTGGGCTTAGTCCGCGCGCAGCACTTCCTCCGCGTCCTTTAGTACGGAACTTGGTGATTGCCTGTTCAGCCAGGTCCGCCCTTTCCTCCGCCTCCTCGAGTTCTTGCTGAGCTTTGCGGAACTTGGCGAGATTCAGGGCAGCGATTTCTTCGGCTTCCTCGATCTGCCTCTTGTACGTTTTGATCTTCTGTTGAAGCTTGTCGACTAGATCTTGCATGCGCTCGTGGTTCTTGCGGTCCTCGTCAGCCTAAAAGTTAAAGATAAATAAGTTCTTTTGACTCAGTGATTAGTATACGAGTATACGTAATACACGCGTAATAATACGGTAATAATGTCGTTCAGGAAGCGACACGTACCTGGAAACTGAGTTCCTTGATGCGACGTTCAGACTTGCGGAGGTTCTTCTGGGCATCGGCGTGTCTCCTCTGTTCTCCGTCGAGTTCGTTCTCCAGCTCGCGGACGCGTTGCTCGAGTTTCTGAATCGCCTTCTTGCCGCCTTTCAGGGCATTCGCCTCGGCCTCGTCCAGACGGACTTGCAGCTCCTTGATCTGAGTCTCGAGCGCCTTGCGAAGTTTCTCCTGCGTCTGAGCGTGATCTTGCTCGGCTCGGAGCTCGTCGGCCAATCTAGCCGCGTCGACCATGGCTTTCTTTGCTTTCTCCTCGGAGTTCTTTGCCTCGTTCAACAGCTCATCCAAATCAGACTGCAGAACACGGAAAAATTGAAAATCACTTTCGATGTTTGTGAACAAACGCGTGAACAAACGCGACGCAAACGTAAACGTAAACGTAAACGTAAACGTAAACGTAAACGTGTACGCCTGCGAACGTGTGCAGAACGCAAGCAAAATCAGAGATGGGAAAGAGTGCTCACGTGAAGGGTTTGGAGTTCGGCCTCGAGTTTCCTCTTGGCAGCGGAGATGGAAGCGTTCTGGGCACCCAGTTCGTTGAGTTGTTCGTGACAGTCGGCCAACTCCTGTTCAGCTTGGCGACGTCCGCGATCCGCCTGCTCGAGCAGCGTGCGGCTCTCTTCGAGTTCGTTCTGAAGCGCGTTCGCCCGACGTTCCGAAATTCCAAGCAGTTCCCTCGCTTCGTCGCGGGCTCGTTGCTCTTCCTCGAGCGCCGTCTGGACGTCCTTCAGTTGCTGTTGGTATCTCTTGATGTTCTTCTGGGCCTCGGCGTTCGCCTTGTTCGCGTGGTCGAGCGCGATCTCCAGCTCGTTGATGTCCGCCTCCAGTTTCTTCTTCATGCGTAACGCCTCGGCTTTACCCTGAAAGAAAGATTTCGCGATAATATAAGATAACGCGTATAATATATGTATATACCTTGTTATCTTATCGATCGTTAATAATTGTCGATCGTTTCGAACGTTACGAACCTTGGCCTCAGCCTCGAGCGACGCCTGCATAGAGTCGAGAGCACGTTGGTGATTCTTTCTGGTATTCTCGAATTCTTCTTCCTTCTCCTGGATACGTCGGTCGATCTCCTGCCTGACTTGACTCAGCTCCAATTGGCTGCGCAGTACTTTGTTCTCTTCTTGTTCCAGAGCGGCCTCGGCTTCCTCCAGAGCGGCTTGGAGTTCGTCCTTCTCAGCCTCCAGGCGCTTTCTCGCTTTCTCGATCTCGTGAATGTTGCGTCCACCTTCGCCGATCTGGTCCAAGAGGTCCTTCACCTCGTCGGCGAGATTCTTGTTCTCGCGACGTACCGCTTCCAACTGTTCCTGCCCTTCCTCGTACGCACCTGTTTCAACGTTGTTGGTATATTAGTATCAGTATCGCCGAGTGAGAACCGAAAAAAAAAAGAAAAGGTTGGACGAATGCGTCCAACGATTGGAACGATTGCGTACCTCTGAGCCTGAACAATTCCGTGCTGTAGTTGCGGCATTCCTTCTGACTGGCGTCGAGTTCGGCCGCGAGGTCGTCCACTTTGAGCTTCCATTCGCCGATGATCTTGTCGAAGGCCTTCTGTTTCTTCTCGGCAGCGTTGGCGATCGCGGTCGCGCGGTCCACCTCGATCTGCAGGTCCTCCACCTCCGTCGACAACCGTTGCTTCGTCTTCTCGAGGGCGATGACCTTTTGGTTGAGCGATTCGATGGTCTCCTCCGCCTCGGCCAATCGTGCCTGCAACTTCCTCTTGGCTTCCTCGAGCTCCTCTGCTCGGGCCACGCCCTCCGACTCGTACTTGGTACGCCACAGCTGCGCCTCGGCGTTCGCCTTGCTCAGTTGCCTCTGGAGATCCGCTTTGCCCTCTGCCTCCTCTTCCACCTGTTCTCGAATGTTGTCCAGGTCGTGTTCCAGGTTGCGGAACTTGCCAAGGAGGGTAGCGCGTTCCTTCGACTCTTCGTCGGCCAATCGTTTCGTGTCCTCCAGCTGCGTCGTCAGCGAGATCTTGATCTTGGAGAGTTGGTTCACTTGCGATTCCGCTTCCTCCAGTTGCCGCAGCAAGTCGCTGTTCTCGATCGACAGCTTCTTCTTCGCGGCGTCGAAGTCGTTCAGCGTTCGGTTCACCTCCTCCAGTTTTCCTTGGGTCTCGTTCAATTGGTGTTGCAATTGTTTCACGATCTTCTCTTGGGCAGCCTGTTTCGGTCGATCACCGATTGTTACGACACGCGTATTAGACAAATTACGTTTCGCTTCGTTTCCACACGAATTCACCTTTGGAACAACTTATATTCGCTGAGATCTCTGACTCTCTCTAAAATTTACAATCTCGTTCGGACAATTTACGAGAAGACTCGAGTTTTTGAATTTTTCACTCTGCGAGATTATTAAACTATTGGATTGGATTGTCCAAAGGTGAATACGCGAACGTATATATGTACGTATGCGATGTATAAACTTGGAAAAGGAGGGACATACACGGGAGAAACAAGCTTTGCAAGCTGGGCACACTTTCGATCGCGACGACGTAAATTACACGTGAGGTTCCCATTTCCGTTTCCGTTTCCCGAGCTGCTTCGTGCTGGCTGAGAAAGCTGTTAGTTGCGTTAGTTTGTCGAATCCTAGAGAATCTCTCCGCGGACAACAAGGTTTCTCTTACCTTCTCGTTGCTCAATTGGTCTACCGTTGCGCGCGTGTCGTTCAATTCGCTGAAGTATTGAACCTTGTCCTTTTCAACCCTAATTTTCATGAAAACAGACACGTGAAGTTGGCAATTAGTATTTAGAACAGTGGATCGGGAAGAAAATACAAGTCGTTAGAACGAACGATACGATACGATAGTGAAATCACAGTGTGGCAATCGAACGATCGGTTGCATGTCGTCCATCGAATTCTATGACGAACACGATGACGATTCGACGTAAGGGACGTAAGTTAAAAGAGTGGAGAAAACCATTCGAGGAACGGGTCGACGACCCTGACATTACGTGGTGAATTTGAACTGGTCAGATAGTGGAAATACACATGGACGCGACATAATAACGCGAAGACAGAGGAAACAGAGAAAAAGTAATCTCGGAAACAAATGCGGGATGATCATTCAACGTTCAACAGTCCCTTTGAATGTACCTTCTCCCTGGAAACCTGATCCGTCGTGGCACGTGAATTGTTCAGCTCTGCGTGGATATCGTGACGACCCTTTTCAGCTCTATCGAAAACAATTCATTATGTCCCCGGTTTTTCTTTGTTTGTCGAAAAGATTTATCGTTCTGTCCACTGAAATCGTTCTATTCTCTAGACCGAAATCTCTGATCGTTTCTTACGCAGTTACGCGCGGTCAAGTAGCGATGGAATCGCGATATTTGATATATATATATAGGTATCGACGTATCGATCTCCAACTTACCTGGCCTTGAGTTTATTAAGCGTGTCAATTTGTTCTCCCATTTCGGCAACGGCGTCATTGTGCTTCTTGCGTAAGCTGGCAAGAGTGGATTCGTGTTGGATGTTGGCTTCCTCGAGATCCCTGCGCAGTTTGCTAAGTTCCGCTTCTCTCTTCTTGTTGAGTTCGATCTGGGCGGAAGTGGCACCGCCGGCTTCCTCCAGGCGTTCGCCGAGCTCCTCGAGCTCACGTGCCAAGTCGCTGCGCTGTTTCTCAGCTTTCACGCGAGAGCCACGCTCAGCCTCGATCTGTGGGACATTTTTCAAAGTCATTTCTACAGCCGATTCTATACCAATCGACCGAACGAGAAACTAGTCTTCTTCCCAGACTGACCTCTTCCTCCAGCTCTTCGATACGGGCCTGTAATTCCTTGATCTGCTTCTGCAATTTGCCTACCAACGACTGTTCGTCCTCGAGTTTCGCGGTCAAAGACGACAGTTCCTTGTCCTTGCGTTGAATGGTCTGTTCGAGTTCCTTCTTGTTCCTCTCGAGATCCGCAACGGCTTCCTGCGTAAGTTTCAAGTCACCTTCCACCTTTCGTTTGGCTTTCTCCACGTCGGCTCTGTAAAGTCAACATTCATTCATATCTACTCATCTACCGTAGTTACCTACGCTATCGAATATTACACTATCTATCTAGTTATGACACTGATATCATATGTCACGGCTACGTTTCCCTATAAGAAAATTTCGTTTCACCAACCGTGATTTCTTTTCACGTTCCAGGGAATCTTCCAACTCGTCGAGTGTGTGCTCCAACTTGATTTTGACCTTGTTCAAGTGATTGACTTTATCTTCGGCAGCTTGAAGTTCCTCGGCAGTCTTTTGGTTCACCTCGCCCTGATTCTTCTTCTCTTTGTTCAATTTATTGATCAGCTCGTCTTGGTGGGCAATCTCGTCGTTCAAGTTGCGGATCTGGTGGTCCTTCGTCGCCTTGTCCTGCTCTGACTTTTGTAAGTTCAGCTCGAGATCCTCGACGTCTTTCTTTAGACCTGCTACTTCCTGTTCCAGTTTCTTCTTGTTTTGGAAGAGATTGTTCCTGGCATCTTCCTCTTCTTTGAATCTGTCATTCAGATCCTACAATAATGGAACAATTATTGGTGGTGGTGCTTTTACTTGTATCGGTGTTGCCTTATTTCGTCGTGCCTTGGTTCTTTATTTTCACCGTTCAGTTTAATCAGCAATAGTAGTTGCTCTTCCTAAGTTCGAGTCACGAGACATTCTGTCACAAATATTTTCAGTTACCGTATCGGCAAACCATATAAGAGTAAATTAACATAATACACTTTCTTTGTTTGGGCAGATTCGATTTGATTACAACTCTATTTTATTTCGTAAGCTGATACATTGTTGATCATAATCGCGTTGAAGTACATGTGTAATCTTATACGATTAGGCTCTTGAAATCAATCACCTAAACTTTAAAGTATTATCAGAGATGACCCGTCATCATGCCTGCTACTAGCATCGTAACGAAGAAAATATTTATTTCCATTTTCCAAGTAAATTGAAAAATTTTTTTATGTTTTGACAGACGAGTGACGTAAGAAGTAACTCGGTGTATAGTGATATATTGTATGAAGAATAAAAAAAAAAAAAAAAAAAAAAAAGTGTCGATACGAACAAATTGTGAAGAATTCTTTAATTTTTTAATTAATTATGAAAATCAAAATTTCATTCGAGTGAATTGTTCGCTTAATAGCATTCAAGAATTAATCGATAGAAAAATTACGCAACGCGCTATCATTTTGTAATCTTTTGCGTAATCTTTGCACCTTCATCTGCTATCATCTACTATAGTATTAACTGGTAACAATCTTTGGTATTTTTCAAACATTATTTCACAAACGCGTATATAATTCTCATTCATATTTGTATATCAATGTATTTTTAATTTGGTTTCTAACATTTAGAACACCGGAATCGATAAATTTCCCAATTGAGAGACAAACAGGACCAAACAGGACCAAGAGTCCAAGAGTCTAGGATACCAGTGACCGAGTTTTACGGAAAAGCGAAAATTAAGAAACTATCTCGACGATTCTACGAGTCGAGGGTATTCAAGAGTCGGGGATAGGAAATTTGAGTGAAACGAGGATGAACGAGGTGAAGTAGTTGCAGAGGATGACGCGTATAAGCGTACCGACGTATAAATACACCATACACCTGTTACCTCCTTCGTTTTGTCGGTTATTCCAGCGCATAACCACGCCTACTTTTAATAACCTGGAATCTGGGATTGGCGGCAAACTAAATTTGGCCGTGTCGAAAGTAGGGGCGAAGTAGAGTCCCTCTCCACCATCAGGCATCTCAAGCTCACTTCAAACATATTTTCTTTTCTCTCGCTTCCTTCGCTACCTTCTTTCCTTCCCAACTTGCTTCGTTCCTTCTCCCTATCCCTCACCGTATTTGGCATTGTATAATATTTTGGCCGAGCTCAGCCGGATTGCCGATAAAACTCAATTTTTTTTTTTTTTTTACTTTATCATGATCGGTCGACGTTGCTTTTATCATTTCACTGACATTCCTTAATTAAACGCCAACATTTACGGACGCGTTTATCTAGAAACATTTACTTGTTACCTAAATTAAAGAAAGATTCCTGATTCCAGCCTGACGCGTGAGGTAACATCTAAATTTAATCGAGAAAGGAGCAGAAGAGAACGGGATGCTCCGACTGGGTGTTGACATTAAGTACCAGTTAGTCAGTCGTTTAAAAAGTGCCAGTCGTTAAAAATAGTCCAGTATTCTGGAACGAATCATATCCACCGCGGAATTTCTGGAGTTTTTTTTTTTTTTTAGTACGCCGCGAGATTCACCGCTATCCAATTTCTTTCGCCCGAAAGAACGTTCGTTCCTCCAAAAAGAGTTCGTTTCTCGGAAAGAGTTTCTTCGTAGAAAGATTCGCGCAAGGCTGCTGGAAAAAGACAAATAGAAAGAACTGTTCTGTTTGACGTTCATGCGAGAGAGATACCGTCTGACTATACTGTTTGTGCAGGGAATACGCATCATTTCAGTGGCTTCACTTGGCATCGTACAATTATTACGATTATCGTACAATTACGATTCGACGAGATTGTAATTCTTGTTGCGTTGTTTCGAGATTTGGAGCAAAAGGGGAGGGAATGGAACGTGGCAGAGTAAAGTTTCAAAGAAGATGAAAACAAGGAGAGCAAAGAAAGGCAAAGAAAGAAAATTCAAAGAAGAGAAAAGAAGAAAGAGAGGGACGATTTAAAGAAGATTTTAAGCGATTAGAACTTGATACATATTCGTTATGGAGGAGTATTCTCTGTGGGAAGACGGGACAATTTTAGAACGAATGTGGAAACGAGGGATGATTCGTCGCGGAAGAAAAATAGCACGGCGCACGGCATGGAACGGAGGAGCGAGCGCGCGGCGCAACGCGTGGCGCGATGCGATGGTCAGACTAATGCGTCTGACTAATGACGCGCCTCTGCTACTTAATGCTAGGCGCTTACGAAACCACGTACGCGACCACGACCATGTATCAACTCCTGCCAGGTGCATCATTTTCTGTAATCCGAGCCAGATTTGTTTAAATTATGACGAGCTTGTAAATTTTCAACTTCAGCGTCTTTCTCGAAGACGGCTATAACTGCCCTCTGCGTCTATGTAAGCGATATGTCGAAATCTATTTACGCTGGGAATCTTTCGGGCTCGTTACCTCGCGCGTTTCCAGAGTTTCAAGTTTCAAATTTTTCAAGCCGATACTCTCTGCCTTTATGTAACGTTTCCGTTCGTTGACGAAGTCACGCTCGTACGAACATCACGCAAGTCATGAATTCTTCTGCAATGAGATTTTTTGCTCGTTTTTTTATTTCTGTTTTATTGATTTTTCTCTTTTTCTTTTTCTTTTTTTTCTTTTTTTGATATCTATCGTCCGCTCGCGATGACCACGAGCCGCGTAAAGCCGCCAAAAGCTTCGATTCGATTCGATTCTAACGCGTTCTAACGGGAATTGTCGAAATCGGAATTTATTTATTTTAAGGGCGAAAGGTATGCGAAAGATAAGCGAATCCGCGAAACTGGCGGCTCTGCATTGTAAATAAATTTCTGCATTTTTTCACCGTGCCATCCTTCCCATGGATATTTAAAGCATCGGATATTCTCCGCCGCTTATTTCAACCACGATTATTTTCATTTCCAATACTTTCCTCGCGAACGCGCCCGTAATACCTCGGACGTACGGCCTCGGCTGATTTTAGGAATGTTAAGGAGACATTAATAACCCCATTCTTCTTTCTTTCGACATCTAATCAGTCGTCTAGAAGGTATAATTATCGTTCGCCTGTGTGATTCACGATTCGATCCGTGGGTTTCGTTATCGCGACGAATCGTGCCAATTTTCGACTCGCGAATTTTCGACTTGTGAATTTTGCGCGAACGAGCCATCCGAAATTGGCCTAACTTTCCTCTCAAGTAATTGCGAAAATTACTTTTTTACTTACCTACGAAACTCGCTGAGCCTAGCTCGAACGGGTACTCGACAGTGAACTTTCGTCATCTCGACGTCGTGATTGGCAATTTCAAGTTGCTCTTTTTCAAAATTCGTTCTTTTTCTTTCTTTTTTTTGAACCAGAAGAGCGACTTGACGAAATGTAACGTTTTCCATTAGAAAAGTCTCGCGTATGATTTTAAGTCAGCGCGAATGATTTTACGTTGCAAAATTTGAAAAATTCTAGCTTTCTTTTTTTTTCTTTTCTTTTTTTTTTTTTTTTTTTTTTTTTTTTTTTTTTTTTTTTTTTTTTTTTTTGTTCCTTTGAATGATATCTAATTATGTCTAATGAAATCTAACGCGACGTAATTGAGAGTATATAATGGAAAGCTTACCTGAAGTTGGGACTCGATATCAGCTTTCTGGGCGGCCAGTTTCAAGGATTTCTCCATATATTCCGAGAGGGAACCCTTCTCGCCGTCGAGTTGTCGTTGCAGGGCATTTCGTTCGGCGGAGAGTTTGGTGTTTTGCTCCTCGAGTTCCTTGCGCAGCTTCTCTTCCCTCTCGAACGCTTCCTGAGCTTTTCTCGCTTTCTCCTCGAGCGCCTGTAATTCCGCGTTGTCGTTGAGTCTCTTTCCGTCCACGGGATTCGAATCTTCCACCGACGTGTCACCCATTCTCTCTATTTCTCTCTATCTCTCTTTGTTTCTCTTCTCTGTTTCTTGCACGAATTCACAATGACGAAACGAAACGTTCGTCAAATTACTGACGGAAGGGCACCACGATGGAAAGCGACGACCACGTTTCGCGACGTGTGACGATCGATCGACAGATGATCGAAGAATCGAAAAAGAGCCGCCTCGCTATCGAAGAGGAGATTCTACGATCCTGCTGTCGCGTATCGATGGACAATACCGTTGGAGAATGAGAAGGCAGAACGAAGCCGTGCGCGAAACGACGAATCTTCGTTGTCGATGATATCGGTAAGATATCGACGAGATGTAAAGAACGAAAAAAAAAAAAAAAGTGGGAGAAGAAGGAACTCTGCGTCGATCGTGTTCGTGGCTTGTCGTAGAAAAAAAGAAAAAGAAAGGCGAAGGGGAGGGAATTCGTTTAGCAGAATATCGATCGAATAGGTCGGCGCGAGATCGCGTATCTGACTGGTCTTCGGTTTACCAGAGGCTCAACTTTTCTACCCAAAATCCCCCTTGGTAGTCGGGCCGCGGGGAGAATCATCGTCGTCCCCACTCCAGCGATACTCATCGTAGAAAAATATTTATAACCGATCTCGATGACGAAGGAGGGACTTATACGTGTGCAACCAGAAGGAGCTACCATGACAAACCGAGCGAGTGGACCGAGTGGGGGGAGGACCGACGAAATTAGAACCCCCCAGTTCCAGTGAGCAAATGCTCCAGCAGCAGTTGCTCCAGAGAACGACTGTGAGAGATGGACGTGTAATATCGACCTGGATTACTCCCGAAGGATCGTTGTTCCCGATCGAAGGCCGTTGCCTTTCTCTCTCCCGTAATTAGCAACGACCGAACGAACGCGATCGACGAACGCCAACGCCGTTGCCTTCCCGCCGCTTGGCTATATCAATTTATAGCGGGTGATACTATTTCCGATTGAATGCGATTTCCACTGATTTATATTCGCCCGACCCGGTGGAAATGTCGAGCAATCGCTAGATCAAACGAGCAGAGTACCGACCTTACTTAGATCAGACTGGTCTAATTACAAAAGATCGTTTCTATTTCTGTACACTTTTGCTTCGGAATCGATCGGATAAATCAATGTCCATTGTGAAACACACGCGCGCAAGTTATCTTCTCAACGATTTTCTATGCTAAGTAGCCGATATTAATATAGCTTAACATACCGGCGATCGAGATCTCGAAAGATTCGAGTCTGATCGGAAAAGATTTATGTAATCGTTTCTTTTCCTAAAACCGTGCGTTACGCACGTTACTTGAAACGATCGACGCCGATATATGTTACGAGTACCTACGAGCAATGTCGTTTTCTTCAAATTTAATAAACATTTGGTGACGATAATTTAACTTGTTACATCTATAATGTAATTAGAATACAGCTTCTTATGTTATTCACGCAATATTCAACAACATGATATTCTATATTCTAGTTGAAATAATCTAGATTCTACATATTTAGTGTGCTTGTCGTTAAATTATGTTAGAGATTAAAACTGTATCAACTCTTGAATAAAATTTCGTAGAGTATCAAGAAATGACATTACTTGTGGATAATAATTTCGTGCAATTATCTATATTTTCTTTCATTTTCCTCCCCCTTGGAATACGGTGTATCGGTATCTTTATGCACGATCTTTTATCTTTAGTATCTTGCTTCCAAAGATAGCTTTCTAAAATAAAATTGTACTAAATATATCGAAAGGTGGATCGTTCCATCTCTACGATGAAATTAGATAGCATGAATAATCGATGACACAAAGCCCGAGTGATGAAACCGAAGGTTTGGAATTTTTTTAGGCTTTAATTCTTACAGGTGCCGTGGCCCGAGACGAGACGAGACGAGACGAGACGAGTCGAGAAAAAATGAGATTCACCACTGTCATATAGGGTAAAGGGTGTAAGAGTACCCAAAAAAATTTCCGTTAGAAAGAGAGAGGGAGAATGAAATATCGGAATCGTAATGGAAAAGCACGTGCCAAGTCCTGTTGGAGATCTATTTATAAAATACTAAAAAAAGACGGAACGAGCTAGCTTTGATTACTTTATAACAAAATCTTCGGATACTGCGAGAATGTCTTGTTCATCGTGCGAGTATTTCACGAGAGATTCTGCATCTAAATTTAATAAAACTTTAATAAACGCTAGATATTCCGTCGGTCTAAATACAAACTGTAGATTCATCACTGTACTGCGTTTGAAATTAAAGAGGAGAAAAGAAATATTTGACCGTCTGTTGAGAATTTTTCAAAAAGACATTCCTACAGGAAATGACCGTGGAAATTGAAAATTCAAAACATTTTCAGAAAGAAATCAAAGAGAGAGAAAGAGAGAGAGAGAGAGAGACGGAGTATTTACGGCACAAGTCGAGGCACTTACGGCAAGCTCATCTTCGATGCGAGTGACGTTGAGCAGAGGTTTAACTTTCTGCCACAGTTTCCACCATGGCCAAGTACGAAGTTGCAGGTACTTCCTCAAGTTTCTTTGCACGACGACCAGAGCCAAACGTTGCTCCTGCAGTTTCTTGTAATCTTTTCTGGTTAGGTAACCTCGCATGTACGCCTGCATCCAAGACACGATCTTGCTGAGTCGCTCGTCACGGAATTCTTCCATCTGACCCAGGACTCCGGCACGGAAGAATACCTGTTGTTTTTTTTTTTTNTAAATTCTAAGTCCCAGCGGCGTATTGCTTTTGAATTTTCTTTTAGTTATATATATATTTTTTTTTTTTTTTTTTTTTTTTTTTTTTTTTTTTTTTTTTTTTCAAAAGGAACGGATAAAAGAACATTTCGATTAATAAGAGTTCCTCGTGGAGGAGTTCGTCGTGGAGTTACTTTGATCACTTTCGACACTTTGAGCAAAAGTCAAGTTCCTCTCAAGTTTGCCGGAAAACACGAGCAGAGTGGAATTTTCACGACTGATGATTAATTTCTCGGCCGTTGAAAATAGAAACGTTTCGCCGTACGTGTGTCTCGAAATTCGATGTTTACGAAGAGGCGTAAACATAGAAATACACCTACGTACGTACATAGGCAATTCCCCAAATTAATATCAATTATGTCGACTACAAAATGCGAATTTGTAAGGCGACGGCGATGGAATTAAAAGCAAGAAGGACGAATGTTTGATTTACGTAACGTGTGCGTAGATTTCTGATTCTAAATATATCATACTTTGACAATGTGTAGCAACAATTGCTAATAACGGTGCGATGCGATCGAAAAGAGAATAGTCGACGGTCAAGAGTTGTATCGTTATCGTCGATTCTCAGCGGTGTGAGAAGCAATTGCAAAAAAATTCATCGAACGTTTGTACGTGTATTTCGAATCGAAAGTAATCAAAGTAAACCAAAGGTGAGGATCGCCATGCGGATTTTAGTGCAAGAAACGGGACACTCGTCTATCATATGTAATCAGAGATAATCTTATACACAACGTAGAGTAAGCAGAAAAAAAGCTTCGGTTAATCGATCTAAAATATCAAGAAGCGAGAGCAAATGTTACTACCTGGTCATTTGCCAAAAATGAAAGAAAATGTAATTGCAGTCTTCGGTGTTTACGGTATCGTGTTTCAGTTACAGCGAGCATTAGCTGACATTGTAGTAGTGTAAGGTAGCGTAATTGAACTTTTAATCCTTCACTTGCGCTCTTCTTACGTAAGTTTCGTAAATCCGCGAGTTTACGATACTTGACCGACGAGATCAAAGTGTAAAATTTCCATCAAAGACACTAAAGTCAAAAAAAAAAAAAAAAAGAAACAATACGGTACAAGCCTTCATTTATATATACGAAAAATTATTTAAATCTTTAAAAATACGCGCTGTAAACAAAAAAATTATAAATTGACCGTTCAGACCACTTTGGGATAGTTGGAACAAAGTATCCGCAACCTAATGAATCGAATCGAAATACGCTGAAACTTGATTGAAACGCGATTGATGGAAAAGCGTGGGGAAAGGATTAAAAGTTTTTACCGCCGTGGAAGGAAAGCAGTTGGAATTGTGCTGCAAACGCGTGACAGTCGCGAGTAGCGAGAGGCCAAAGGCGTCTAATACCTTGGTGAGACCCATACGATATAACTCTGGCTCCAGATTGATCGCGTCCAGGATCAGTTGGGTGGCCTTTTGAGGCTCGCAAGGCTCTTTGATGGCATTGGCGCACAGAATTTTGTATCTGTGACGGTTCGTTTTTATGGTTGCGGTATGGTTGGGATGCGGCACGACAAATAAAAAAAAAAAGAAATCATCGCACATGGTTAAACACATGGTTTCCAGATGATCTAAACAACGGAATTGCATGGGGGTAAAACGTGAGATCCGTCTTATAGTCGACCTCATACAAATGTAAGTTACAAGTAAGTACGTGTATTCCCAAAACGAGTATTTGTGAAACGGGACACGAGAGACGTACGAGATTTGTCCTGTAATCAATCGTATATGTACGTATCTACGATATAGGTTACTTCTACGATGGATATGCTTCTAAAATGGAAGTCGAAAGAATCATCCTCCCGTCTCCTTCGAGAGTCTACCATCTGCTCATTATAGTCACGCGAAACGGGATTAACATTTTTCCAGTTCAACTTCCGTTTTAGAAATTAATAACGTTTCAGGGATGTTTTTCAGGCAACCTTCAAATATTTCAACTCTTCCTCTTTTGGTTAGACACGTTTGCTGCGTTTAACGCTAGATAGCATCGATTACGCGTTTAATATTATTAACGCCAGAACTGTAATTCCTGCAAAATAATTCTCTCGTTCGATCGGTTGACGCAAGCAGCGCGATAAATTACAAAAAAAAAAAAATTGGGAAAATTTCGAAAACTTTAAAATTTGAGACGAGGAAAGAAATAACTTTGAAATATCTAGAGCTGTGGTTAGACCACGTCCCACACAGGGGCAATTTGATTTTCTAGGGGAGTAGCAATTCGAGAATGAGTTGTTAACAGTGAATTTCTCGTACTTTTTCAAAAAAAAAGTTTAAAATTTATTTTTTTCTTTCATGGAAGCTCGTTTTCAGACCCTTGAAGCTAATGGCATTTTAAGCTCCCTCCACGTCAAAAATTCACTTTTTGAACAATACGAATTACGTGTCAGAAGGGTGAAGCCAGAAAAAAAGGTTGGGAACCATTGATCTGAAGAACAATCGCGCGCTGCATGTGTGTAGGTACATGCGTCAGCGACAACCGACGAAATTCGAGAGATTCGTACGTTAAGTAGAAAAAGACCAAAAAAAAAAAAAAAAAGAAAGAGAAAAGAAAAAGAAGCTCGTTATGCATAAATAAAAAAAATGTGATATTGACGTGCGTAACGAGCAGGCCATGACCGCGAAAGGAAACATGCCTTGGTATGTCCAAGACGATACTGATCGGCTTCGAGGCCGGATGCCTCCAAAATCGCCGCCGCAGCTTTCTTCGGGTCGTTACCCACCTTCTCGACCGCTTGTGGCGCCAGAATCTTGTACCTAATGGTAATGGGGTGGAAAGCCAAGAAAAAGAAAAGGTGATGGGTCGCTATTAGTACACAGGATCACTACCAATTGTAAACGTTTTTTGCTTTTGGTTTTGTATCGTGTGTTGCGTCGGATCGTGTGTCCGCGATCGTTCGGTAAACGTAACGTAGGTCTGCTCTGCATTCGTTTCTGCTTCTTGCCACGCAAATTTTTTTTACATTTTCTTCTCTACGTGATATTTTCTAGGTGTGTGTGGGGGGGGGGAGGGGTCACACAAGACTCACTCTACCATATTTATATAATCAACCTACGATCTTTGAATCCTAACTACTTGGGGGGACACTTTACGTATCGGGGATCGCTAATAGACTTCGCATCGTCAAGTCCACGGGGGTCGTGCAAAGATTGAAAATACTGGGAGAACGGAGTTTTGCTCAACACGAGAAGAAGAGTCGGATACTTCTGAAAACGCTCGATTCAGTTCGATCATTCGGAATGCAATTGAAAATGAAAAATCAACACTTCGAGTCGATCTTCGAAGTGAAAGTAGAAAATGAAAAAAAAAAAAAAAAAACGAAATGAATGGAATTGTGACGCTGTTCACGACGAGAAAAGACGCGAGAGATTTCAGAACAGAGCATCCTTCTCACTACTGGGGGTGGGGGGGCAGAGTTTTACTGAAACTTTGTTCGGATACAATATTTTACTATGGACGAGAAAGAGGGAGTAAAACCCAAGAAAAAATTCAGTTTGTTCGGGGATTTGCAACTAGCCTTAGTGTGACCAATCCTGTACATGTCCGGATCAAGTCCGATTTCCTCGAAACATCTCGCAGCGGCCTTCTTTGGATCCGTTTCAGCGGCCATCGCGGCCGGTGCTAAGATCATGTAACTGTACGACCACAATATAAAATCATCGTTTTTCAACTGTGTTATCCGTTAAAAAATGTCTCTAAGTTCCTCGTCTGTCTTGGCCTCGGTATCAACTACTTTCCGTCGTTTGTCTTTTCTTCGAGGAAAAAAGGAAAAAGAAAAAAGAAAAAAAAAAAGAGGGTGACCCGACTTTTCCAACGAGCGAACGCAAAGTAAAAAATCTTTTGAATAAATTCTCGCGATAAAGTGTCGCGAACGTGTTGTCAGTTGCTAATCGATGCTACTATCATCTCCGTCGCAGGTACTTGTAAAGTATCAAAGTATCAAAGCGCGTGTAATAAAGAAAGAAAAGTGACGAAAGTTTTCTGTTCTCGTCTCTGGTTTTGGAACGAGAGGTTCGAGCGAAAGAGAACAACAGGTTCTTACCGTAGTTTGAAGTCAGGGTAAACCATTCTGTTGGGGAATCCTTTACGGCAAATACGGATGCCTTCAAGTACACCGTTACAAGTCAGTTGATGCATGACAAGATGGGAATCGATGACACCCGGCTGCTTCAATTCGTTGGGGATGATACAACGGACGAAGTGGGGCTGGGTGGCTCTCAAAGTGGTCATCAGGTTGTTCAGTTGTTCCCTGTAGGACGATGATACCGTTGAGAAGCCACCACCCTTTTTACCACGTCCACCTTTGCCACCGCCGCCGCCACCACCGGCATCACCAGATTGTCCAGGATGATCAGCGAAGATTTCAATCAACAGTTTGTTCGATGATTTCTTGAATTGATCGACGACCGTATCGTTCAACGGGTCCTTGTTCTTTTCTAGCCAGCCTGTGATGTTGTATGGCACCTGTTGTTCAAATATGTTTTGTAGCCTTCGATCCCTTATTCACTTGACATAAAATATTTCTCTCTAGCTCTCTAATCGTTAACCGTTTTAGCGACAAATTCTCCAAGAGTTTGGGCAAAGAAGAGAGATGGACAGAAAGATAGAGAGATCATTTTCAATAAGGTAGGTTAGTTTGAAAAAGATAGAAAGATGAATATGAAATGTGATTTTGGTAACAAGTAACGTACGTTTCCGGCATAATGGCCGATAGCGAAGTGGGCCGCTTGCTGGCCTGGTTTCGGCGGTTTTGGTTTCAAGTAGTTGGGGCTCTTGCCAAGATGATTGTTGTTCAATTTCTCCTCAAAGGTCTTGTCAGTGGCTTTCGGGAACATAGATTCTTCTTCAAGAATCGATAGGATACCCATGGGCTGTATTCAAACGCAAACGTTCGAATTAGTTTGCGCACTGTTTGTTCCGACAAAATTTTCGAGAGTAACGCCAAGCGAACCGATATTGTCCGTAAAATGCGTGTTCAGGAATTATCGTAGATGGAAGTTGATATAGCTTATACAGTCATCGTCTAATTTTCCTACGCAAGGACATAGAGTCTAGATACACTTTGACGATAATTCAAAATATTACTTATTTCGTTCCAAAAATTTCGTTGTTTTTCTTCTTGTTTCGTTTACTTAAGGTTTATTTCGCGTTACTCTCGATGTCTGAACAAATTCAGAGATTAATACCTTTAGAAACGCTCTTACAAATACTCGGAGACCAAGTTTTTGCAAAGAGTAACTAAATCAAAATTCACAGAACAATACGATGGAAGCTAGGGCTAGAAAGGAGAACTTTTCAAGTTGCAAGATAACGTTACAATTTCCTTCCATCGAATTATTTCATCGACCAATCGATTTCACATCGTCAAGCTCGTTTCTTAAACACACATTACAATAGCACAAACATCCGCATGCAGGTGTACACACGACGAAACAAGAAAAGCTTGGAAGCATCAAACAAGACGGGTGGGTTACCGTTTGGTTGTTTTGTCACAGTTCTCGATCAACGATTCAATCGTGCGTCCATGTTTTTACCTTTCGTTTTACCTTACGTTTCCGCGAGTCTCTACTAAAAATCAATCTCGCGGAGATAAAGAATTTCGCGGCGTCTTTGTGGCAAGCATGCAAACGAAATTGGTAGGAGAGATTTTCAAATTCGAGACGATCGCGTCCCATTGTCGTAAAACCAAGTTTGTCACTGTAATGGAGAGCCTAGAAAAACGTTAACGTTGCAGATACACGTACGTGAAAGATGAAATGTCGCGTCACCTATGAGAAAAGAGTTAGCGTGCAAGATGTAACGTATATATATATATATATAGCGTATGATGGCATTGGCATGCTAACGAGATCTATCTCTGTGTTGGCTTTTCTTTTACAGCGACTCGCTATCGATCAGTTTGAAGCTGTCGACCTCTCGTTCCTGCTGCTTCCGTCATGCGACCGTCACGTGGGTAACAATACCTTCTCGATCAGATCGATCGTTTGCTGCAGATCCATGCCAAAGTCAATGAAAGTCCATTCGATTCCTTCGCGTTTGTATTCTTCTTGTTCCAGAATGAACATGTGGTGATTGAAGAATTGCTGAAGCTTTTCGTTGGTGAAGTTGATGCAGAGTTGCTCGAAGCTGTTGAACTGCTCGAGACCAAGGAGGGGAAAAGCAGAACGAAACAGAAAACAGAGGTAAAAGACAGCTGTCATTAATGCTGCTTACGTCAACAAAGGTCTTGCAAATTGTCAATGGGGATTCCATGTCGAGTCTTTCTTTGTCATTTCATACATGGAGGACGTACAACTTAGGAGGGGATATCACTTAAGCACGCGAAACATGATATAAAGTGCATAAGTTGCACTTTATATGTTTTTCACGAGGAACTCCCTCTGTTTTGTTTTCATTTGTCGGTCTGCTTCGAAGTTGATCAGCTAAGTTTCAGCCTTTTTCCGTCAAGAATTTGCTTTCGACTGTTTGATTGGAGAGTTTGATGGATTCGGTTGACTATACAGATTCGAAACAGACCTACAAAGGATCACAGAAGGCGCCAAATGTTCACAAATACATATGACGTGAATGATTCAGGGACGCAAGAGTTTTAAAGGTTATCGATCAATACGATTAGGTATCGATCGATAATTACGAGAGGTGATATGTGAATCACGTACGGAGCTCGGCTCGAGTTTCACTTTTAAGTAATAATAAATATACGTAAAATATACGAGATTTCTTGTTAATAAACAAAGAATTTCTAATATTTTCTCCTATTCTTTTTCCTATTTCTTTTTTTTTCTTTTCATTGATGTCAACATACGTCAAACTTTGTTAGAAGAGATAATATATCAAAATTTTTCTTCTTATCGATATACAATCTTCCTAATCGGATTACTCGATTGTATACCTTGACTTGAAGATAACAATCGTGAACCGTGCTCTGCTAATTGCAGGTGATTTTAATGAGTATCGAGAGAGAAAGAAAGGAAGAAATCGTAAACGAACACTGTCGCGAGTGTCGTTGCAGGAGTGGACAAAAACAAAGAGAAAGAGAGAGAGAGAGAGAGAGAGAGAGAGACGAGGGAAAGCAAGGTAAAGATGAAGAACAAGGTAGATGTATCGAATACGTTTGCTTTCAATGGCAGCGGAAATAATGATAAAACAAAATAAATATCCAGAACTACGACGACAAGAAACAAGCGAGAACAAAATGGAAAGAGGGGGGGGGGGCGATCTACCAGCGTAACATCGATGATACCAGTCAGAAAGGTTCTGATCATATCTCGTATTTTTGGTGAAAAGCTTTTTCGACAAAAAAAAGAAAAACATCGATGATCGTCTCTCCATCGATCGAGCCGTGTTGGCCGCTTCTCCAATTTCTCCTTTTCTGTGCGTCTTTTTGTTTTGTTTTGTTTTGTTTTGCACTTTTACTCTCTTTGCAGTTTGCGAGAAAATTGTAGGAATACCTTCTCTATCAGTTCGATACACGCGAGGAGATCCATTCCGAAGTCAATAAACTCCCAATCGATGCCTTCCTTCTTGTACTCCTCTTGTTCGAGTACGAACATGTGATGATTGAAGAACTGTTGCAGTTTCTCGTTGGTGAAGTTGATGCAGAGCTGCTCAAAGCCGTTGAACTGTTGTGTTTACGACACAACGTGCGTAGTGCGTGACACAGCGTGGCGATTCAGAAGGGATCAAAGGTGATGTAAGGAAGGACAGAGAATGAGATAGAGACCGAGAGAGAGAGAGAGAGAGAGAGAGAGAGAGAGGAACAAAAGAACAATTAGTAGAATAAGACTAATTTAGGTGATTTGTTCGTTGTGTCTGGTCTTTGTAACTTTTGATTACATACATACATACATATATCTCTATGTACATATGTATTTCCATTATATACCGAAGAAATCTTTTCAATGTTCATTAATGTAAAAACACATTGCAATAAAGAAGAGCTAATAATGGCTCGAAATTATATAGATAGGATCACGAGCGAATCGTAAAGTAATTGCGAGTCAAAGTTGATTGAAACGTAAAAGTTGCAAAGATCGACAGCAACTTTCGATTTCTCGACGAACATCTGGTATATGAGAAACAACCTATACCCAATGATCGTTGAGACTCGCGTTAATCCTAATCACCTATTTCATGCAGGAGCCAAAGAGAAAGGAATCAATTCACTTGACAAACGAACGTCGATTCGAACGTTGCAAAAGTTCGAGAAATTTTGAACTCGTTGCATGAAAAGATTATCGCAGTAAATTCGTGCTAATACGCGCACGTTCGATCGTACTGTTGCACGATTGTGTGTTCACTGTCGCGTGTTTGAGTGAAAATATAAAAATATGTCAATAGTCAGAAAATGACGACATATCAAAGTAAAGGGAAAAATATGTGCGTATACTCGAGAAGAGAAACATTAGAATTGACTGTGTAAAAGTTGAGTGTATTGAAACATCTAGAAAATGATGTTGAAATGTGTATAATATAACGTATAATATCAATCAAAAAGAGTCGTTGGGAAAAAAATGGTAACGATTATATAATGTAGTAAAAATATAAGTACTCTAGCATGTGTAACAACACTGTAGGAGATTGGCATTGTTTCTAGTTATGTATAAAAGAGATGAAAGGGAAGAAGTTCGATTAACGATCCGTGATGATGATGTTACGGGAATTGGACGAATGAAAATGAGCACGGTGGTGATGTGAAGGTGCCTAAGCGAGACGATAAAATTGCTTTTCGTTGAAACGACACGCGAAATCACACGATTCAAAAAGGAAGAAAAGAAAAAAAAGAAAGGACAAATACAAAATGGGAAAAAAGATGACACATAGACGTAACGTTTGCGATTAACTCAAGAAAACAGTGGACGATCACTATTGCAGTTTGCCGGTAATAAGCGTTAAGTTTTGCGTGTGTGTCAAAGATCCAACTGTGGTCTTTCACTAAGCTGGATCGCTTAGGCTGCGCTCTTGTTTTCAACTTTGTGTTTGGTATTTTTTTTTTTTTTTTTTTTTTTTTTTGTACCTTCTCGATCAATTCAATACACGCGAGGAGATCCATGCCAAAGTCTATGAATGCCCACTCAATGCCCTCCTTCGTATACTCTTCTTGTTCGAGGACGAACATGTGGTGATTGAAGAACTGTTGAAGCTTCTCATTGGTGAAGTTGATGCACAGCTGCTCGAAGCTGTTGAACTGTTCGAGCAACAATCAGGCATGCTTTTTCATCAATCTCTACCACTACGCTTGTATCGTTTTTTTTTCATTTGTCTCTCTTTCTTTTCGAGGATATTCGAGACCGTATGCTACGCTTATGCACACGTATGTATGTACAATATATTGTACACATATGTACGTACAACACTTTGTCCTTGTCTTCTGCTAATTTGCTCGTCAGTGACACGAGGACATTAGGTATGAGGTGTATCGGTCAACCTTTTTGATGTCAAGTCAATCGACAAATTTTCCAAACTTTTAGTACATGATGTTATAACATCGATCCTCGAAAAAATGTAATGTGTATACATTATGCAACACAACGTAGCTTACCCCGTGAAAGTACGCGTCGAGCAATTTTTTAAATATTCATGTACGCCGTAAAAAGTGTCGATTGACCTACGTAAGTACATACATATATGCGACCTATTATCGTACATCGATATAATAGGTGTTGCAAATTATACTTTTCCTGAGGGGTATATGCCCCAGTTTATAGATGATCATTCACAATCTATCTATAATACAACATCTACTTGTAGGAAAAGTGGAAAGGTAGAAATCTGGCTGACAAGTTCAAATATTTGCATCCGTAATCGAAGGGACTCGTTGTTCGATTTACAATTAGCAGAAAAAGAAAAAGTAAAAAAACGAAGCTAGAAACGATAGAAAAGAGAACAATTTGCTTGAAGCAAACTGAATTCGCAACACTGAAAGCTTCATCTCGCTTTACCGGATCGTTATTTTGCAAATATTTGAATTTATACAGGATATGAGGGACTTTGAAAACGCTACTACACACATACTCGTATTAGGGAAAAGCGTGATACCTTGTGTATCATCGTCTGATATGTAACTGTATGTATATAGACTTTTACGCTTTCAAAACTAATCGTTCAACGTATTAGTCTACCTTTCGCTGCGAAAAACTGACAACAAACTGTGTCAGTTTCAGTCAATTTCTCAGATAAACGCACCGTCCTGTTCCTCGATGGACAGTTGAACACGTATCGTAAGGTTAATCAACTACAGCAACGTTAATCTTTAATTACGTTCTACGTAGTCCACTGTTGTGAAGTCCACTGTTTTTACCATTATCGATGAAATGAACGCTAGACGCTAACTAGAAAATGACCCGTGTGTCGACGGTGATGTAACACGTACTTATACCTGTACTGTATGTATCTATAAGTAAATACTTTACCAGCCTCTTTTCGGAACCATGGAGATCGTCGTATTTGGTACATTGAAATCATGCCGTGTTTGCATACTCATTATCGATAAATAGACGAGAATGGGGACAATCATGCTCTATGTATAGATATTTGTTACAAATTCCTCTGGAACATGCGTTTTTCTTTTTTTTTCTCTCAAAATCGTTGGATATAGGAGAACGTGATAGAAGAGATTTCAACTAAAAAAAAAATAAATTGTCTTCTGAGGATGTCATACACGTAGAAGAACAAGAGTAAATGTACAAGAATGTAATCAAAAAATATTTGCAGAGAAAAATGAGAAAAAAGGGTACGGGTACGTGTTGACAAATTCATTCGAAGGGAACACTACGAAAAAAATAGGTTGGAAGAAACAAGTGTCTATTTAGTAAAATACGACCACTAGCAAATCGTTAAACAATTCACCTAGACAAAAACAGACAGACTCGTACGAGTCTGATCGGGGACGAAAATGGATGAAAACAAGTCCAAGACAAGGGAGGACGAATCTCCTAACGAGACCGACAATCGCATAACGTGAGACGTTACGTTAAATGGTAAATGCTAAACAAAGTCGGGTGTAAACGATATGAAACACAACGAAAGTACAAATCTATAAAAGACAGTGGTAACGAAAGAAAAAAAAAAAAAGAAAATGGAAGTTCACGAGTTTCTCTACGCTCTCGGGAGAGCTACCTTCTCGATCAGCTCAATACACGCGAGGAGATCCATTCCGAAGTCAATAAACTGCCAGACGATACCCTCTTTCTTATACTCCTCTTGCTCAAGGACAAACATGTGATGATTGAAGAACTGTTGCAGCTTTTCATTGGTGAAGTTGATACACAGTTGCTCGAAACCGTTAAACTGGAGGAATGAAACGAAACGTACGATTTTTGGCAATGAAGCAAGAGAGAGAGATTTGAAAATTAACGTGAAAACGATCGTCGTGAGATTTCAAGCTGAAATGTCCAACACAGCGGACACGGAGTTGTTCCTCCCTTCAAAAGTAAAGTAATATTTTGTGTTTGGTAAGTATCAAGGTACGAATTTGTGTGAGCAGTTTTGTCGCCAAGTGTTTATACGTATGTATACGATCATCGAACGCGAGTAATTGTCTTTCTGACACATTGCGCAACAGGTAACGTAATGGATATAATACTTTGTCAATTACTTGTTGCCAATGTGCGTTGATGGATAATAGATATCGCTGAAAATAGTATATAAAAATACCCTATTGTATTGTATATAGTATATAAAAATAATTTGTGTTTCTTGTTCTTAATACTACCTAAGTATATTTGTTATTAAGTTACGTTGGCAATCTTTCATCAACGTGAAACAACAAAAGATTTTCGATACTTGTGGAATGTACAGATATTTACGCATATTTTTCTGACAAACTTGACCCACGATATTATCTATTATCATTACTATATCGTAACAGTTTGATTAAAAGGAAAAAAAAATTGCCAACGCTGGATATCTGTTTATAAGTGGTACGACTATGCGTCGAATAGAAGGGAACTTACGTCGAAGATCTCAAAACCGGCGATATCCAGCACACCGATGAAGTGTTGCCTCTTCTGTTTCGTGTCCAAGGTTTCGTTACACTTTTTGACTAACCATTTGAACAGTCTGTCGAACATGGCCTTGGACATGGCACCCACCGAGTACGCTACTTGATCCTTGTTACGACCTTGCGTCACGAACTCGTTACCGACTTTGATCCTTGGTTTCAGCAAGTTCTTGTAAAGATCGGCACAGTCGCATCCAAGTAGCTTGGCGACGCGTTCACCTTCCTGTCGAGCGAGAAGACGATACAGATTTTCTCAATACGGATTGCCAGCGAGAGGAACAACAGAGACGTTTTTCTTCTCCACTTGGAAAAAGTTGGATGAAAATTCAGAAAGTGAAGGATGAGCGTTACCTCTGTTCCGTCGGCTTCTGCCTGTTCCTCGCGACCTCTTTGCTTGAACTTCATACCACCCATGTGCATGACAGCAGCGGTGATCTTGTAAATATCGTTCTTCTCCTCTTGGGTGAAGCCCAGCACGTCGAAAGCTTGCTGTCATTGGGAGAGAATAATTAAATATTGTCGGACACACGATGCGTCGTACCAGATAGAGGCTACTGCTTCAGAGAAGTCTGAAGCAACACATTTGTCACTTGGAGCTAGACAACGAATATCGAACGCGATACTTCTGGTACGACTTCTGGTAGCAAGCATTCTCAATGGATAAAAGTACAAAGTTAGCGTTAGTAGGATCGCACACAGGATAATGGCAGAATATGAAGCCTGAAAGTCCATGTTCTCTCCGATGATACTTCCCAGGACGAGACTGTCGAAGTCGAATTCGCAGAGTGAAATTCTCGAAAGTGTCTCCGACAGTCTCTGGGTAACATTTTTAACATGCCATAAGCCAGATCTTTTGCTGCAAAGCCGTTGAAAATTCGAAGAGAAAGCTGCGAAGACGAAGCTTTGGATTTACGTCGAAGAAACTGAAAAAGCGAAAGCGAAGCTTGCGTCGGGTAGCTTGTACCTCTTGTCGAAGCTTGCGTTTCGAAACGAAAAAAAAAAAAAAAAAAAAAAAAAAAAAAAAGACGAAAAGCCCGAAATTAAAAAAGAAAAGAGTATAAACGAAAAAAGATCGTGTGAAACAAAAATTGGAGAAAAAAACCGACGAGAAACAGTGAGGAAAAAAAACTAGACGGAAAACAAGATGAAAAAGAAAAGAATGAGCAAAAAAGAAGAAGTAGACGAAGGAGGATCGATGTTCCTTTCAACCGGTTTCGATCGCTTAGTTGACGCAGTTGCGAAGAATCCTCCTCCTCGTTGGACGAAAATAAGGGTGAATTGACAGTGGAATTTCATTGGCAAACACCCTTGCAGGGGAAGATCTCTGAAGAGACTTGAATCGTTCAGGTTCGTTCGAGTTCATTCCGTTACCGATTCGGTGGTTGAAACTGGAAACGAACCGCTACACTGTGAGGCGTGTCACCGACGTGCGCACTGCAACCGTCGAGAATTTCCATCTCGAGGCCGCCTCACTTTTTAGGGTAAACCAAGAACAAGACAAGTGTCGAATTTGTCGTCAGATCAGGCTTGAATTAAACTGTCAAAGAAATTCTCTTGTTGTATCAACGCAACGATGTTTCATAAGACAGTTTAAACGTGAAACATACGTGCGTGGGTACCGTGTGTTTTTCGTCAAACTGTGTTTCGACTAACTTGGACGATATTTTGTCGAAATGGTTTGAAATATCGTCTCAACAGGAGTGAACAGGGCAGAAGATCGATTACGATCGTAATCGTTTCGTAGGTACGTACATACATGTGTATGCACTAAAAATGCAAAATTGGATTTCCACGAACAATCGTAGAAGATGGTTGGATAGTCGGGGAAGTCTAAAATGAATTTTTTATGTACATGGAGTCTCAATGACGAATAGCAACGAAAAACATCTATTTTGCGACGTTTAAATTAAACTTTCAAACGTTTCGTTCGAAAATGTTGAATGTTTTATTCTCCACTGAAGAATAAAATATATATATATTTACGAGATACATTATCAGAACGCGTCTAGAAAAGTACGATAAAATTTCATTCAGATTGATTCAGTTGATCGTTTGTTCGTTACTATTTGTCAGCGTTCTAAATTTGATACAAAGAGAAAAACTGAAGTACACGTGGAAATGTAAAAAGGTTGTACATAAAGGTACATAGAGAAAGGAGAAAACTGTGGATTCACGAATCCATTTGTCAGGGACTTACGTCCGTCAATAAACATTCTTCACCGTCGTCGACGTTGGGAATTGTGATTTTTCCTTGAGACACGTTGACATAGTCGTATATGTTGTTGGACAATAGACACAGATCTGCGAAGCATTTTGAAAAGAGATCAATCATAATGTAACTGACTTTTGACTTGAAGTGACTCGATACTCGTAAATCCTGCGACGATAGAACATTGTACAAATCAAGTTTCAACATTATACTACGACGTGATACTGCTCGAGAAAGATTTTTCGTTAGAGACGCTCGTTATTCCTGCAGAATCGTTGGATGGATGGACGGTTTCTTCCTGATATGCGAATGCTAGAAAAGAATTGGTCGATCAACGAAAAGCCCGAGAAAAGTTTTGTTATTATTCCTGATTGCTGTTTCGGGTTCTACTGCTGCGGACGAGCGAGAAAGTGTTGGCGCATTAGGGAAGAGAGGTGCGTCGGAGCTGATCGGGGAGCGGGTGGACCGTGGGGGCTCGACTTTTCCTTTTTTTTCTTTTCTTCCTTTCTTTTTTTTTTTTTTCTTTTTCTTTTTCTTTACCTCGAGTGGAAATATTTCCAATGAAAGTATTCCTCCCCCAATCTCCCCGCGCCCCGATTGCGGCGGCAGGAAGCTTTCGCAGGCGGGGCGCGAGGAGGTGATGAAAAACCTCGGCCCAACTTTTCCATCAGCTTGCCTTTTTGTCTACTTTCTGTGAATGCCAATACCGTACCGTACCGTGCCCAATTCGCGAGAAGAAAGGCTTCTTTCCTCTTTCGTCATTGTCGCAAAGCAAACGATCGAATTTCGACAAAACGATTCGAAAAGTTGGCCAAGATGTTTTGTGCACCGTGGGGTTGGACTTACGTCCGTCTCTTCCATGTCCGCGGCGTCGTTGACTCCCGGAATTCTGGTCTTACCCTGGCTAATGTACCAATAGTCCCCGATCCGGTTGCTCAGCAGGGTTAATTCTGCATTATTTTGTTCGGTTTTCAAAGCTGCCTGCTTTACGAGCGTTGTATCGTTGACACTACCACTTGCAATCGCTCTCAATTTTACAATTTCTCTTTTTAGCCTCTCAATTCTAAACACTTTTTTCCTATTTTCTTTTTTTTTTTCATTTTTCTTTCTTTTCAATCATTGTTGCAAGACTTTACTAATGAAAAACATCATGAGCAATTGCAAGATGCGCATGAGAGAAAGAAAGAGAGAGAGAGAGAGAAAGGGAATAGAGAAAGAATATGAATACGAGTCAAAATGATTTGCGATAGGCTGAAAGAAGAAGAGCAATAGAGAGAAGAAAGAAGAAAGAGAAGTATACGAACAACGAGAGAGAGAGAGAGAGAGAGAGAGAGAGAGAGAGAGAAAGAGAGAAAGAATAGAATACAGAGATAAAAGAATTAAAAGCAAGAATGATATTCTTCTGTGGTTGCCGATCTTGCTGATAATATTATTATGTGTGCTGTTAAAAAAAAATATGATTAAATTTTAATGAGAAATGGCGCATCGATGAACTAGAATAAACAAACGAGCAAAGAGAAAGAGAAAGAGAGAGACAGAGAAAGAGCAAGAGCAAGAGACAGAAAGAGAGGAAGAATATGTGACAAACAATGATAAATCTCAGCACATATACTACATTATTACTGAAACCAAAAGACAACAACACGAAGCTTGAAGAATTGTTTCGCTTCTGTGGAAAAAGTAGATTGCTAATTGGTGAATAAAGTAATATTCAGAGGAGTTTAGTGGCAATTTTCAAGATGAAATTGTTCACGGTTCTGGCTATGAAATATGCTGCCAACAGCAGATATAATATAATCTTTTAAACAAAAGCTTCTTCATTTCAAGATAAAGAAGGCGTTATGAAATCTGTACCTCTACTCGTTAATTATCGTTTTTTTTTTTCTTTATCTCTTGAAAAAGTCAAGAAAGGCGTGAAAGAAAATTTCACAATTTCGACGTAACGTGAACTTTTCCATCCGGAACATCGCGAGAGAAGAGTGCTTGACCGGTCAAAGGGAAGCACTTACATCGGTGATTAAAAGTTCCTCGCCATCATCGAGGCCAGGGATAGTCGTCTTGCCTTGTGAGACAAAGTAGTAGTCATGGATGTTGTTGGACAGCAGCAACATTTCTATCGGTGGCCAAGAAAGAATAAAAACAAACATGCAGGTATTAACTACGAGTGAGGGTGCCATGTTTTCTGGTGGCTTTCCTTCGGAGTGCATCTACAGGGACTAGTTTATAAACTCGTATCGAAGGGGGACGATTTTGTTAAAAAAAAAAAAAATAACAATAATAATAATAATAATCACCTAGTAAGTCGTTGAATCGTTAACTCGAACAATTTGATCTACGCAAGTTGTTCCTGGGGAATCAACTTCCTAAATTGTCCTATTTCACGCGTGTGACACGTTTATACCTTCACGTTGCTTTTTACTTTGTCTGTTGAAACATATTTTCCCATTTCCCTTATTTTTCTCCGGCCATTTAGGACAAGATAGGATCTCGATTCTCGAATATTAATTTTCATTAATACAAGTAGTCACAAGAGTAAGGACAGCGTACGGTATAGTTTTCTGAAATACCGCATATGTCGTTTAGCACGGTTCCTTTCAACTTCCTTCTGTGGAAAATTCAACGGCAGATTTCGACGAGTCCTGTACTTTAAAAGGACGTTGTCGAATAGAACTCAAGGGTGGTGACTCACATTTCAGAGAAATACAAAGGTCGTGATTGAATGAATTCCGGCTCGATAAATAAAATGGGAGGCAGGTAGAACAAAAGAGACACGCGACAACACCTTGGTATTTCTCTTTTCCAGGAGAAATTTGGGGGAAAAGTTTCCAACCTACAAACAGCTACAAACAGCGAACAATCATAGAAACTTATGAGACAGGGTTTGTGTTTGGAAGGGGGAAATCGAAACGGAAATATAATAGTAACAACAACAACAACAACAACAATAATAATAAAAGAAGCCTTAAAAGAATATTGGCGTCTAATGTAGCAAAGAGGTAGGAGAAGAGGCGACAAAGGAGAGAGAAAGTGCCTATAGCCCTGGCATGATCGTCAGGTTCTTACGTCGGTCAAAGTACACTCCTCGCCGTCGTCGACGTTTGGAATCGTCGTCTTGCCTTGAGAGACGAAGTAGTAGTCGTGGATGTCATTCGAGAGGCAGCACATTTCTATATAGAACGGGGATCAAACAAGTGAGAAAATCTGACAGAATGGGGAAAGTAGATCCAGGACAGTTTGGTGTACCGCTGGTTGCACGTCAACCGACTCGATATCGCAAACACCTTCGATACCGAGTTACGCAACCTGGTTTTCTCCTGACGCAACCTGGCGCTTTCTCTAATTTCCAGTTTAAATACTAGACATCTTACTCAACTCTTATCCAAAAGCAAAGACGGACGAGAATAGGAAACAGGCTCTGAAAAGGTTTTTTCACCTGTGAACGATATCAAAAAAAACGATATTACGTCGCCAACACAAATTTTCGTATTTGTCGAGTCTTTCGAATCGAGAGCACACTGAATCGTCGCACACACTGTGAATGAAAAGTACCTACGTGTCGAGAAAAAAATCGACAAATCGATCGTCTCTCGTCCTAAAGACGATCTCCGACAATCACCAAGTAAACGCTCGCTGCATTAAAAAGATCCTAGCTATCTGTTATCATCTCGATAGAATAATGTAACTTGTTTTTGTGAACTGAATAACCTTACCCTTCAAGCCAGAGACCGAGCCCGACATCATTTGATAGAAGATGTGATAAGAACGTTCCAGAGCCTGTTGAGAGATGACACGAGCCTTCTCCAGCAGATCTGCATGCAAATAAATTGATTTATTTAGCGTTGTTTCTATGTTGCGCAAGATTATTGAAACTTACGATTAAACGTTTTAAAGCGTTTGTAATTGCGTTTGATTCGTTCTGAAATAACGTACGTGACGTAATCTACGCGTGCTACGATATGTAGGTATGATGCAAACGAAATCTAACAAGATAAAACCAAACGTATGTATGTACGACGAATGTATTATTTTTAAAAAAAGCCGGTAACGAATCGAAGCCAACTACGTTTCTATCTAAATTGATCTATTTATACGTACGTACATATGTACGTATATAGGATACGGAAAAGAATCAATCTAAATTTCTAGCTCTAGAGATTCTTATCCAATTTGTCATGCGAAGAATCGACAGCGATAGAGCGCATAGATACGTATGTGGAAATTTTCGAATAAAAACTTACAGGTCTCGATATCGGCACCAGCCAGTTTCCCAGAGGGTCCAAAGTGAATACGGATGAATTTACCCTGTTCGACGAGCAAGAAAGAAATTACAAACTGCTCAAATTGAAAGGAGGAAATAAAGAAAGACGAGCCAGGACTTACGAAACGCGAAGAGTTGTCATTACGGACGGTCTTGGCATTACCGAACGCCTCCAAGACGGGATTGGTCTGGACGACCTGATCTTCCAGGGAGCCTTTCTTTTGACTGGCATCGTCGGCTTTCTTGGTCGAGGCACCGACGGTGGCAAAGTACGCGATTACTTTCTTCGTGTTTTCAGTTTTTCCGGCACCAGATTCACCGGTAATCAACATGGATTGATTTTCACTGTCTGTGAAAAGAAAAACGATAATTTGGTACACGAGCAAAGTGTTTTAACACGAAAAATAGCGCAACATTAGCACCGATATACTTACTGGTAAGCATATTGACGTATGCACCGTCAGAGATGGCGAAAATATGCGGTGGCACTTCGCTACGTCTTTTGCCTCGATAAAGTTTCGCGCATCTGTGAGTGTATACGGGGAATCGTCTGTAGGGGTTGATAGCTACACAGAAGAGGCCAGAGTAGGTCTGAAAATGACAATGAGCCGCGTTATCGCAATGAAACTTTTTACACGGTAAAATACCCATGGTACAAAGATGTATCTGTGACGATTTCGTTAACGATTCTGTGACTCTTTTCACTTGAATCGACTGGTTCTATTCGCAGCGCGGAACGTCCAATTCTTCACATTTACATCCATGTACATATCGTACTACACACACACACACACACATCCCCGTATATATGTACACATATTTACAATCAAAGACTGTATTACGTTTTTCAATGACTAAATATCACACTTTGACTAGTTTTATACTAGTTTTTTTTGTTTCAAAGTTTGCAACATTCAACAACACTATTTTGGAGCAGCCAAATAGTGTTATGCTGGTTAATGAAACAAAAAAAAAAAAAGAAAGAAAAGTTACACTTTAAGATAAAAACGTGAATATGATTTTACGTAAGTAACTCGTGTCTTGAGACGAGAACTTGCTCGTGGTCGGCAATTAAATTCGACCAACCACGTTCGGAACAATTTCCCTTGAAAAAGGGCAGGCAGAAGGGGAGGGAAGCAACGACACGTCGCTACACGTATAGGTGTTTTGTCAGACGACGTTTGTCAGTTTGACGTTGCATACGGTGATAATCATGCATTTGAGGGGAATAGAATACTTGCAGATTTGCGCGTGTTCGCAGCAAACCAAATGAACGACCAAACGAATTGGAGAAAACACTCAAATTACGATTGAGCGTGAAAATTATGAGGAGAAGATGACGGTGATGATGGAGAAGAAGAAGAAGAAGAAGAAAAAGAAGACGAATTCAGAGAAGAAAACAACGTGGCGGCACGTTCAGGTGCTTTTATCCAACGTTTTCGATGCAACAAATGCAATTTCCATTTATGGAAAACAAAGGAAGGCAGAAATGAAGAAACGAAAAAAAAAAAAAAAAAAAATGTGAAGAAACTCAGAAACATTTACGACTGGATAGCAGTAAGAGAGAATTCTCCCCGAGGGTGAAATAATCTTACGTAGATGAGTTTGGCGTAATAACGTTGTTTCAAATTGTGAAGGACCGAAGCATCGTTGAGATAAGTTAAATTCGACATATCCTCGCATTTTTCGTATTTAGGTGGATTTACTTGCTGCAGTTGGTCCTTCTTGAAGTCCTTGGTCTGGTTTTACGGGGGCAAGGAAAAAAGATACTTCGATTAGTAAAGGTAGAAAAAATTGAACTTACGTAAATTAAGTTGTTGTAGTAACGTTGTTTCAAGTTGTGTAACACGGACGCCTCGTTCAGGAATGTTAAATCAGCCATATCCTCGGTTTTCTCGTATTTCGGCGGATTTACTTGAGCCAATTGGTCCTTGCGGAACTGTTTCGTCTGCACGGGCATTCCTTCTTTGTATACACATTTCATTCTATTCTGTCTTATCGTAAAATTTAACCTCACTCAACAGTGTTACCTTTTACATGGAAAAAACTTCGTCGCCAATTTCTCAATTAATTAACCGTTCGGAATGACGATACTTGAGCTTTAATTCATTTAATGAAGTTTATTTTTTTCGACGATACGTACGTATTTATATCTCAAGTTAACTAATTAAATGACGAGTACGAATAAGAAAACGCGAATAAAATACGATATTATCGAAGAGTCATTCATTATTTTTTCAAAAACGAGACAGCAGGATCGATTAATATCAAAATTTGTTATTTGTACGAGACAAGTATTAAACGTCGTACGCGTGGAAGCGAATTATTTTCTCTGAAGTTTTTCAATCATCGGGCACCGAATATATGATTTTAAACGAAAGTTCAAATGCACCCAAAGTGTATTTTTAGCGTTTTTTCCCTTCTTCTTTCTTAATTTTACACGTAATAAGAAGAATCCAACGTGTGAGTAATGGTTTCCTACATCCTTTGGTTGGTTCCTACCTCATTCCTCTCCCTCTTTCGCTTTCGATGCTCTAAATATACATATATGTCGAGGCGCGTTTCGTCAAGTGACGCGTTTCAACTTATTATTATACCAATGGTAGCGGATGATGCTAACAATAGCATTTCAGCATCGGTTAACGAAGAGAAGAGAAGGTAGGGTTTGCTGAACCATTATGTAATCCAACATGTAGAACCGTGGCATTTCGTACATCGCTATGTCCCGAGCCGAACAAAAATAACCGCTGCCACCGAAATCGCGGAGAATACGACGAAAAAACCAGAGAGAGATACAAATATAGATGTATATACCCACATGTATCTACATACGCACATGCAGATATATATATATATATATATATACAAACATATGAATGTGACACGGTTCTTCCTAATCACAGAAACATAGTACATACATATTACACTGATAATTTGCCGTTCGTTGTTTATTTACTTTTGCAAAAATCGAACGAAACGTATGAAAAAAAAAAAAGAAAATGATTCTAATGATTCTAAATATTCGAAATATATATCTGTTACACACGTATTCTACGCATTTTCCTATGCGACTTATTTTTCCAGGATAAAATAAATCCTAAAATAAAGCGACTTTTAAGTTTCAGAGTTATTTGATCTTCGAGGCGAGCGATCGCAAATCGACTTGGAAACGCGTGGATATCGAGCGAGAGGAGAAGCGAAGCAGTTTTAATATCGGAACGTTAGGCGATGGCAAACGCTACCGAACGGTTTTTACCTTTGCCAAAAATAACGTTTCGACGGAGTCTGATACGATGAACCTCTGCTATTTTGTTTTCTTTTCGCGCATAGGAAGCCACCGTTGGCTTCTTCCCAGCCGTGCTACCGCTCTATCCAATTTAGGCGACTGCGACGCGACAGAGGCAGAGATACGAGTAATAAGAAAATATTATTCCATTCGCTTTTCCTTTTCTCTTTGATAATTCACGAACTCACGAATGAGAGTCTATGAGAGTACGAGTACCTAAATACATGTATGTATATATATGTATGTATATGTGTACCGCGTATGCTATGTAGCGATGTACGTATGTATGGTAGAAAGTATAGTATCGATAAACAAGTCGGAAGGAAGGAAAGTCGACTCGATTAAAGGAAACGAACGTTGATAATTGACAAAGAGGCAAAGGGAAATGACGTACCTCGCCGCCAGGTAACGTGACGGAAACAACATCACCCTTGGTTGCCTTGATTTCACCAAGAAGGTAACCTTCCTTCTCGTCCGGTACCCAGCACGCCTTCTTCGCGTCATATGGTTTCGTCTGGTCGATTCTCTTCTGCTCAAGGGAGACGAAAAGGTACGGGGTTGGATCCTCGTCCTCCTGTGACTTCTTCGGCGGCGGCATCTTCGATTATTTCCTTTCTACTTGAATGATTGAATAATTTATTTGTCTAATTGTCTCCTCCTCTCGCTCCCGGGAAGGTCTTCTACGTGCCTTCTACGTCGTCGTTTTCCCACGTATCGCACGATGGGAAGGAACTTGCTAGTTATTTCGTTTCTTCGCTCTTATTCTCGTTTCTCGGAGAATTCGGCGGCGGACGGACTACTTCTGGCGGCACGATCTGGGCGGCCCTGTTTTACAAACAATCAGCCCTGTTAGTTATTATTAGCTTACGTCCACGCGTTACGACCTCTTTGTCTTTCTATTTCATTTTCTTGTATGACTACGACGTACAACACGCGGCATGCAATATGGCACTTGGAGTCTTAATAATTTCCTTTTAGAACATTTTCGAAGACTTCGCTCCGAAATATTTTACTATCTTACTATCTTTCTTTGTTTCCTTAAATCTGTCCTGCCTACACTTTATACATTGCGCGATCTACGAGTCTACAATATTTCTTCCATAACATTATTACAGTAGAAATATTAGAAATATTAGAATTGATAATTTCAACTTGTATTCCATCTTTTTTCTCAGTGCGATTAATTAATACGTATTAATTAAAATAAATTGTTTTACTTTTTATCTCAATCAAATGTACTATTATCGTCTTGTGTTTGTGTCGTCGTTGTCGATTCGTCACGATTGTTGTTATTGTTCGACTATGAAATTGATTATTGGTATTATATTGTATCGTCGAGTGACTTCCGTTAATGTTGCTAAGTATTCGCATCGAGATTGCTTCAACGACTAAAAAGCAATTACAAAACGCGTTGTGTAACGATACAAGTCGACAGCCAACAGAAAGTCACGCAATAACGTAACATCGTACAATAGAAAAGAAAGAGAGAGAGAGAGAGAAATAAATAAATAAAAGAAAGAAAGAAAGGGAAAATTCTACAGTTTTTTCTACAGGTGCGTTCATAATAATTTCTTTCCTTTTGTTTGGAAAATGAATACGTAGAAGAAGAAGACGAACGAAGAAAACGAAATACGGGACGAATAACGGGAAGAAAAGTCTACGTAGAACTAAAAGAAGAATAAATTACGTAATGGAATGCGTAAAATAAGAAATAACTCGAACAAGTCGTTGAATCTTCTACGAAGAAGAAAACTCGCAAGAGTTTAATTTGGTAGTCGAATCGGTAATCAAACGTGTTAAAATAGAACGAGGGAATCGACGAAGTTTGTCGGTTAGAAATCTTGGGAACCGACCGAGCCACCGTTGAAACGAGACACCGTGTTTCGAATCCATCCAAAAAAAGCAACCAGTGCTTCTGGAGCTGCATAACGGAAATAAAATGGCGCGCGCACTACACCGTTGCCCTTCTGAATTCCCTTGCGGATCACGTGTTTCAAATTTCACGCACTTTTGAAAACTGGCTACCGACGACTTTCGTTCCGACTTGAGTTACGTCATCGAGGAAGCGGATATCGCGGAAGAAGGAAGATATTTTACAGCAAATGGTGGAAATGTTGCGTCGTTGTAAGTGTCTGGCGAAAAATGCGAAATACAAAAATTATAAACGAAAGTATAGAGGAACGTAGGTGGAGAACGGGAGGAAGATGGTCGAAACGATGCAAACTTATTCCTTGAAATTTCTTGCAACTTGAAACTCTGAAGAATGACACCTGGCGTCGCACTATTCGAAGATGAGAGAAACGAAAAAAAAAAAAAAAAAAAAGAAAAGATGCGGAGACGTATTTTCTCACTCTGTCGGTGAGAAAATTGCATCGCATTGCCTTGAGGATATCCTTTCAGGTTCGAGAACACCGTGTAAATGACGCACTGTTACCCGGACGTTCATCATTCACCAATGACGTCCGCGGCGGCCGTTGAAACTCGCGAAATTCGAAAAGTGTCACTGCGTTTTACGCTCACGGGTACGTGTATTGAAAACAGACGGAGACGTGGGTGATGTGGGGTGGTGGAGAGAAAGCCGCGAAGGGAATAGAAAAAAATTCGAAGAAGGTAGAAAACGATCACTTTCGAACGTCCCGCGTTCTGGTTTCTTTTCTTTTCTTTCACCAAAAGAAGGACCACACGCGAAATTGTCCCTCTCTCGAAACGATATCAGTTCCTTAGTAATAAAATAAGGATTACACCTCGGAATCGGACGTCGATCACAGATACGTGGCTTCAGCTCGAAAATCACTAGCTGTAAATTTGAACTGTATCTCCCCCACAACTCCTTGTTGTTTCCCCCAAAACTCCTCTGCCAATTGCAAGAGGGAAAGTAATTATTCGAACGATGAATCGCACTTTCCCCTTTTACCTAAGCGGAATCCTTCGCGACGAGGGGTGGTTTGTAATATACCGCGGGCGAGATCACTAGACACTGCGAATCAGGCTAGGCCGGCGAAATTCCCTAGGCTTCTCTCACGAGTCTCATTTCTTTCGTTATATTTTCTGTATCCTTTCTTTCTTTCTTTCTTTCTTTCTTTTCTTTTCTTCGGACTTGGTTTCTTTAATACAAGTTTCTTCTATCGGTCTTTACGACTTCACGACGCGTACGTCTGGCTTCTCGCTTTTCTCTCTTTCGTTTGCCTTTCCAACCAAAGCGTTGGCCGTAGCGTTAATGTTGTACGTCGTGTAATCAAAAAAAAAGAGAAAAAAATCGAACAATCGGACCAACACCGACGTTCTGCACTTACGTTAGAGAGCCGTTCTGTCGGGGAAACGCGCGGGGGCTCCCAATATAAGCGCGTGCAACGTGATCCTAGAATGTAACGAGCTCAACGATTGGCCGGCCCTCTTGGCCAATGAGACGCGACGTTAGTTCCGGGGCCAATCTACCTTTTTAGGTGGAGATGATACCAAAAGTGTGACAAGGGGTGGCCACGGAAGGCTACAACCGTCTCGATCAGCCGAGTGAGATGAAAATAGACGTTGAAACGAGACAGGGAATTACCTTCAGCGAGCTCATTTTCTGGCATGTCCATTTTTTTCCTCTCTTCCCGTACTTCAACCCTATTTTACTCTCTTTTCCCTCGACCCTGATTCCCTCAGTCCTGTCCTTTCCTGAAATATCCGCTCGCGATAATATCGCGGGGCATCCCTCGTCTTCGCGTCCCGAGTGTCGATCCGCAGCTGTAGATACCGAGTTTTTCATATACCTACTACATCAAGATCACTGGTGCACGTGGAAGGCGCACGTGCTCGATAATAGCTGCAGCAGACACCAATAAATTTCACGAATAAATTACGTCGGCACCTCTCCCGTTACGCGTCCAGAACTCATTCTTTTCACCAGAAATCACACGCGTATATGATAAAACGGTCGCTTTTTTTTCACGACTTTTGTCGATTCCCCGGAAAATCTAACGCAAACCAGCACGCTTTCAACTTTGTATCTGTACGTACGTACGTACGTACGTACGTCATTTTTGGAGTTATTGTACGTCATTTCTCACACCAGTTCATTCCACTGTATTTTTCCTCTTAACAAGCGACGTATTTTTCAGTTCTTCAAGTCTGTCCATCTTTTCATCTTCCAAACGTGTATTGATACAAATTTTATAAACTACTTGCTCTTCGTTCATTATTTTAAAATAACGTACGATTATTATTACTTTTGAACATAGCATGCACTTGCGCGTGAAATACCATTCTGTTATTAAAGCCAATTTCCGGTAGAAATTGCTTCCAATACGTACGCGTATAACGATTCAATCCTGTCTCATTTATCATACGCACGGTGCAACGAAATCGTTTTCATCGAAATTCGACAAATTCAAAGATGAAAAATGTTCGAACATGCAAGAGAGAACATCTACAAACGGAAACTATCGTTCGTTTGTTTCCCCGTTTATCCATGACCTTTCCCGAGGAATAATATTACGATTGATTCGATTGAAATACCAAATGTCTGTGATCGAACATTGGCTCGCACAATTTTACATATATACAGTATGTATTATGCAAAGTAGTTGCTCGCTACCAGAAATGTTTGGCTATCTCTAGTAAATTGGCGCCTCATTAGAGAATTTGCATTTTCAATGAATGAAATGATGATATCCGAGGGGAGAATTCTCTTTCTTGCTAACTCTTGTTTCACACGTTATTCTCATCTCTCGTTGATTTATCTTATTCTCTCATCTCTTGGAAATTCCGAATTTTTACAATTACATCGAATTTATTTGCTGTTTCTGCTCTACTGCATTAAATAATTAGAATCGCGATGGAAAGTGACGTGATAGAAACTTTATAAAGCGCGTGACTTTATAAGATGGCAATTCACACGAACTAAAATGATATGAAAGCAAGGAAACTTTAAGTGTGAAATGTTAGTAAAAGGTAGTTTGAAATAGCATTTGATGTCTCAATGATATTGTGGCTAACTTGACTGAATTTCTAGTGACACGCTAATGCTAACATTTACGCAAAGTAGTTACGCCTCAACGTTTCGAACGCGTCAGCAGAACTACGAATCTGGCATTAAACGGCTATTGAAAACGGCAACGTTAGACGAACAAAAGTTATTATAAAGAATTGAAGTAGCTGTGTTTCAATGTTCCGGAAACAATCTCGTTTGAAAATACGAGCACGTTTGCTTGATTGGCATTAGTCGATAGTTACAAAACGCCAACAATTTTGAATTTTACGCACTTCTTTTGCACGTGAAACGCCAATGTATATGTTTAATAAATAATTCATAAATAAGAATCTTTCTCAAAATCTATTTCAATCGAATTTCCCAGCTGTTCTTCTACTCGATGATACTCGATAGATATACCCGTTCTCGTAGACATATTGCAGATACGACGCACGCACGCAGTAGTTGAGGACGTTCTATGGTCAGGCACGGAGAACATTATGAAACAGGTATCCGTACGCTATTCAGAATATAGTACGTACTTGTATTGTACTTTGCCTGGAAACGTCAGAGATTCCGACTGTTGCAGATGGAAAATATACCACCAGAACTCTGTGCCTATTTTTACATATTATAACAAACGAATATTAATCAACGAATCATTAAACTGAATGCACGATAGCCGGACGTACGGTATATTGTATATATATATACAAATGCGGTTCGTTCAACGAGATTCTTCGTCGCATGTCTCGGATACCCCACCGTAAAAGTAATAATGCAACGTTAATTTGTATTTGTCACGCGTAATTAATATTGTTCTAGACCAAGTAGGAAATACTATGAATGCGTAGACAGTAACGGAATTCGGAATGTATGGAAATAGACTGGTTGCGCAACATGCTTGGTAAATTAAGATTCTGACGCGGATAAATGCCATACCGATGTTTATCGCGAGTCTTTTAAAACAACGCGTGCTCGTAAAGTATAAAAGTAACACGCATAAATGTGTAAAGAAAATTTGACGTCGCCTTTCTATGGATTGCGATCGTGTATGACCTTCTTTTTTAGAGCGACTGTGTCGCTTTCAGCGAAGAAAAGCAAGAAAAAGAGAAATGGGACACGAAAACATAAACATTGTGATAGAGTGGTTGAAAGTTTATTTACAATTGAGAAGGAAATGTTAAATAATAAATCGATCGTCGTGAATAGATCGATCGACTTTTATCGATTTTCGAATTGCTTTTGCTTAACAATATGCATATATATATTTGGGTATATTAAGCGATTGATCACGTAGCGTCTGTTGATAAGTTTTTTTAAGAGTTTCTTCTAAATTCCATGGACGGAAAAGAAGCTTTCTTATGATAATGAAGCTCGCGTATTTACAGGTTCTGAGAAAATTGTTAAAGACCACACCCTGTGATTAGCTCTTGAATCGTATTCTCGGATGAACACGTTGAAGCATTGAATATATACTTGATACATTCCATTCTTTGCATAAATCGTATATCATGTATAATCTTCTCCATTGTTTCACATCCTGTAGATTTCGTTCGAACTGTCAATCTAGAGAAAGAACTATAAACATATGTAGGATATCTAGGAACTATTTATACTAGACTTATCTAGGGCCTATTTATGTACTACTAGACTGCTCCTTTTTTTTTTTATTAAGATTATCACGTCTTAAATTTATAAATTGTTGAAACTAAAAATTATTCGAAGAGTTTTTATCGAACACGATAGACACACGATGGGATCTGTCGCTTTTATCAACTATTTGATATGTAATATGCTAACGAAATTATAGCGTGTCATTTACATTTTTATGGATTTTCATGTTCATATATAGGTACATATATATTTTAGATATTAACCACTATTGTCATTTGTCTGTCATTATAAATACTATGTATTACACATATACATTACACAAGCATGTGTATTCATTCAAGCGCTTTGTCAAACTGTGCATTGATATTGATCATGTTAATATGTATCGCGCATCGATTAATAATTCTCACTAAGAAATTAATTTATTTTCTTTTCTTACATGTTGATTAAACATCATTTATTTACAAAAGTTTATACAACGTGTCCAGTATAAATTTCGATAAACAATGTTTTTGACGTGGGAGAAAATAAGGGAAACATCTACGCGTTTTACGCAGCTATGTATACACGTGTACGAAGAAGGGAAATGAGAAGAAAATTCCAGGATGTATCTGCGATTACGTTTAAGTCGGTCGGACGAATGCGGACAAACGATGTCGAAGAAGACGAGAAAGAGGCAGCGAGGTCTTAGAAGACAGATAGCGAAGTAAGAGCAGAAGAGGCCGAATCTAAGATTATTTCGGGATTGGCCGGAGATAAACCGGGCCAACGTCGACCGAACTAAGTGAAACGAAGTGAACGGAGCCTTGAGGTTTGAGTCATCTTTCTGAACTCGAATTTGGCTCGTTCGCAAAATTACGCACAACACCGTAACTAATCAAGTATTTCTATATTTCCGTGCGTTATTCCTTTTTTTTCTTTTTTCTTTTTTTTTTTTTCTTATCGATTTTGCTACTCTGTCCTATTGTTTCTTTTTCTTCATTTTTATCTCGTTCTATTCTATTTTATTCTGTTCCATTCTATTCTATTCTGTTCTATTCTATCCTACTCTATTCCATTCTATTAAAATTGTCCTCTACTCTATCCTATTCCGCTTACCGTCATAACATTATTTTCTTTCGTCGCAGATGTATTTTGAAATTGTAAATATCAGTTTCATGAATTTTTTCAGTTTCAAAGATTCTTTCCATTACTTAAATGATCATGGATACCTTTCCTTTTCATAGCTGCTTGGAAAATTCGCATTTTATGTATCAATCAGATGAATTACTGTGCTTTAAAGTGATGAGATTTTAAAAGACTTATTTTTTAAGTAGTATTACAAACGATAAACGTACACAATTGTACAAATAAATATTCGATAAAGATAAAGAAATAATGATTAATAGAAAGATTCTTAGAAATTAAAGTGCAAATGGAAAATAAACTAACTTCTGCACAAACACGTGTTATT